CAGCACTGACACGCGTGTCATAGGTTCGCCATCACTGTCCTCAGATAAGGATAAGGACTGTGCTTCTGGCACAATAATGATGTTTCTGAATAATGATGGGCTTTTTCCAGCGAGTTTACTAATACCTGTATGCAACACATGCAGATTACTGGATATATTTATTACCTGAATGACCTAATATTCTGGGCATTGGAGTTTTTTTAAAGGTGAACATTTAATAACTGTCAACTGCTGCCCCCAATCTGCCTATACCTGCAGTAGGATTTAGTGGAGAAGAATGATCTTAGCCAAGGCAGTGAAACATTGAAGCCCTAGTAGCTGTACTTCTGTGGGACCAGCTTATGTTTTTCAGATGTAATGGGAAACACACACAAACACACACACACACACACAAATCTAATGATGTAGATCGCATTATTTGCAATTTTCTTGATGCAAATGATCCTAGGCTAACTACTTACTTGTCTTTTCCAATTCCTGCATTATATCATTATATATCCTTGAACAGAGGTCTTCCTGTGGTTTTGTTCCATCTAAATAAACTGCAAAAGGTGGAATACAAATGCAAATTACTTTCAGCAGAGGAAAAATTTCACAATCACATTACTGCTGAGAAGTGTGGTATATACATTTAACACTAGTTCATACAAAGAGATATAACTTAAGGTCCCATGCAATCTGAACAACGGTTTGACCACTAACAGTGTGAGCTTGTAAATGTCTAATCATACGTTAAGAAAACATTTGGGAACTAGAGACCTCTTATCACACTCATAAGCTATTCACCTTTCACATAAATGCAAAGTAGTACTGAGAATTTTTTTAAAAAAAAGAATACAGGAAGTGCATAATTAGTTATGCAATACTTATGGAAATATCACAGACACCTGACAGAACTATAAGAATGTTAGCTGTACCGATGCTTGCTTCATTTTCTTCCATTTCTCTCCTGTGTTTCTGATACATAGGCCACACATGTCCATCAAAGTAACCAGGTGGGTCTGGTGGATTGTATATTCTGTTGCTACATTAAACAAAAATAAAATCCAAAGTAGTTCTTATTAGTTTGATAATCTTTAAATGGTTTCTTCTTTCTGTATTTCACTCCTAGATTTTATAGTCACACATTTGATATTGTTCAATACTACTACTTTTAAGCCATTTTCATAATTTTTGTCACAGTCCCTCAAGCCTAGTGGGAAATTTAATTGTTTCCAAGTATTGATTCTTCAAACCTTTGTAGCTTTAGGGGAATGAGTTGACCACTTAGGACTTTTTCAATATAGCTAAACTACAAGTGCCTAAAAGGCCCAACTATCATGAATTGAATTCTAACATCAAGAACATAGGAAGGGTCACAAATTAACCATCCTCAAATAAAACCTTTATTATAGCTTTAAAGCCAGCAGTTGCCACACCCTATGTTCAGAGATAATCTTCATAATGATGTGCCTCGAGTTTCACTAGCAAATAGCAAATAACAAATAACAGAACTGTCATAAGGAAAGATCAGTCATGCTGATCTAAGTAGATTCCATGGTGTTTTGCATTCTATTAAAAGATCTGTGCCAAATGTCTACTGTTTCCTGAAGCTCTGTCTAGATTTTCTTCAATGAAAAAAATACTGGAAATGATCCATGGAGAAAAACATCCTGTCCGTTCTGACTCAGCTTGCACCTCTTGAGTAAAAATGATCCTTGGCTCCATTTTTTGCAAAAGGTAGTTTTATTAGAAGGCAAGTGAACTGCAGTAAAGCAAAAGCCAGACCTGTGCCAAATCCCCAAGTGTAATTCCTCCCCTCTGAGGCATTTCCCATTACTGCCCCCCCCCCCACCATCGTCCAATCAGTTTTGAACAATATGTTTTTGAAACACTCAATCTTGGTATAGGCTGCTTTCCATTACTTTCACTTTCCTCTTAAGCCATGGGTACCCAACCCCAGGTCTGTGGACTGGCACCAGTCCGTGGCATGCCAGAAGCCGGGTCGCACAAACACCAATCCATGAGATGCTGGCGGCACACGAAAACACGCCCCGTCTGATCCGCGGAAAAACCTCTCCAAGGAACCAGTCCCTGGTGCCCAAAAGGTTGGGGCATTACCTAAGCACTCCCTCCCCTTTTCACCCTCCCCCCAGGATCCATGGCAGTCTGGCACCTAGGAACAGCAGGAGCTCAGGGGTGAGGTGGCAATTCTGACACATTCTTCTGCTGTGAAGGAAAGCTTTCTTTTTCATAAAAAAAGTAAAGAAGAGACAGAGACAATCACTCCCTTTATCTTTCTGAATGAAGGACAGCATCAGTTCCAGATGCCGCCTGACCAAAGAGAAATATGGCCCATGGGCTGAATATAGTCCTCCCAAAACACAGATAGTCTAAAAGTGGAACTTATTTTGACGTATGTATTAAGAAGAGATGCAATTTTACAGAGAAAGAAACAATGAACAAAGAAAGTTTTATATTAAGCATTGTTTTAGTATACCATACCTTCTTCGCCTTTTACACTCTTCATAGGGAATTGTTAAGAAATATTTTTTATCCCATATATCACTAAGGGGCCTGCAAGAGTAAAACGACAAGTAAGGAATGCTGGTTTGCCCTATTGCAGTTCTTGTAAATGTTAAACAACTGCTTACTTGTAGTTAAACAGAAGGAAACCTTCAATAATTAAGACCCGAATATCTTTTGCTCCTGTCTGATCATCATGTGTATTATTGGGTGGTCTTGGCAATGCAGAGTCTTCTGGTTTTGTCATCCAAGAACGTATGCTTGCCACCATTGTCTCCATGTACAAGGCATCAAGTACTAAAAGAGACACTTAAATCTTAAAATGTAAGGCAATATTCCCAGTCTGCACACATTCTGTTCATGAGACACTCAAGAGCCAAAGCTTGAAGTATATACTGAACAGAATGGGAGGGTTAGGAATTACTTGAAATGTTAGAAGAGTTTGCTATTTTGAGGATTCAGCACTATCTGAGAAAATGCAAAGTATGTTTACGATTGATTAATCAGGACTGGAAGCAGGAAAGTTTATAAAGTGATAGCAAGGTATAGGAGCAACATATCCAGTGATCTCATTGTAGTTCTCAAATCTTTGAATTCTATGCAAATAGCAGACAAATGGGTTGTAATGAATTAAGGATAAATTAAAAAGAAATGGCAGATTAATCATTTCTAAACATTAACAAGCAAAAAAAAACCAAATGGTTTCAGTTTCTCATATGTAGTATAGATTATATCAAATTTTAAATCTTTACCATTTAGTATATAAAGTGAAACATGTCCTCTTTAAGCAAAATGAATTAAAATAAGTATATGAATTCTTTTAAGGCAGTAGAATGTCATACTTAGTTGATTACATTTCATTATTCAAAGCTATATGAAGGAAGTAAACTAAAAGATTTATTTATATAATCAAAATGTATTACTGGGGGGTTCCCTAACTTTAAAATGGCAAAAAAAATGAATCTAAAAGTCTGGGCAAGTTTCTCTGTTTGGCAAAAGTGTGGAGTCAAAGTATTATTTTTCTAAGTTTGAGTTGAACATCCTACAGTTTAAGCAGTCAAACTGGGGCAGTGTGTTACTAATTTCATTAATGCTATCTGTAAAGTTGCTTACTGTATTTTCATGATTAACTGGTTTCCATTTAACTACTGAATGAAAATATTTATATTCCAACAATAAACTGAATTTTGAAGACACCCAAAGTCCTTTCGAAATCCAGACTGCTTTAAGAGAACCCTAAAGGTTTTATGTAAAATATTATCTTTATCCTAGAAAGAGTCTAATTCCTTTGTCTTTTCTTTTCTCATATCTATTTCTTTCTGCTAGTTCAGATCTATGAAGGAGGTGAAAATGTGATTCATCTCATTCATATGCGATGACGGTCAACAATCCCCAAAAAGCTGACTGTGCTTTCCTAAGCCAATTCAATTTATGGTGAATTCTTATTATGTTGCAATTCAAAAATGTAATTGCCTGCATTGCACAACAATCGGCGCTGTCTGAACCTGAACAAGTTGATCATGTACACAGTTATTGACAACTATCTTATTTATATTAACAGCTTTTAAAACCAACTTGTTTTTGTAGGCAAAGGTAGCACATTTACATTTCAAGAACAGGATATTTCCATAACAGAACAAGCTTTATAAGTAGTTAAACAAAGTAAAGTGTGGATTTCCTCTGAACACTTGGTGCTGATACAGGACATCTAGGAAAGGGGGAACCAGATTGAGCAGAGAAGATCTTCACTGGCTAGAAACAAAAAGGGTCTTTCTTCTCATTTATAAATAGGAAGCCTTTGTGTTGTGGTGTAAAGATTGAGATCATTGAAATATCTATTGAAAATTGTATTTTACAATATTACAGTTTTTAATTTATTTATACATTTGCAGGTACGCATATACAATTTGGAAGCCGCTCAACTCCTGATTGCTCTTATGTGGCTTAGAGATGAAAACTAAGGGCAATACAAAAAACAGAAGAGAAATTATGACTGGGCCAAGAAGTCCATCCAAAAGGGGTACAATCATCATTCTGCCCAAAACCTAGCCAGGCCTTTTAATAGCTTTAGTAGCTTTTAATAGCTTTAATAGCTTTTTGAATGCCATCAGGGTGGGAGCCATCCAGATCTCTCTTTTGAGTTTTCAAAATATATACATATATATACATATATATATACATATATACATATGTACATATGTGTACGTGTACACACACACACACACACACACACACATATATATATGTATGTTTTTATTTTTTTTTAATTTGTGCTGATAAATAAATAAAGGGAGACTAGTATAGATCTATTTCAAGCTATTTAGCTCTCCTCAGCTAGCCATACCCTTACTGGGAATCGAGCCTGTGCTGTATTGCCTCTAAGGCA